AAAAAAAAAAAAAAAGAGAGAGAGAGAAGGGGAAGAGCCTGCTGAGCCATAGAATGCCCAGGGAAGCCAGGGGCAGGTGTGCCCAGCATGCCCCCATGCTCTGTTCTCTGCCCTTCCTGGACCACTGGCTACATCAGCTGGGCTCCTTTGGCTTCCAGCTGGATTGAGTTAAAGTGAGAACATTCATTCTGCCTTCCTCCTGCTCACCACAGTTTGGCAGCGGTTGTGTCTCGTCATCATCAAAGATGTTGTTGCGGCCTTTTCTCCCCAACCCTGGGGCGCCTTGCTTCTGGCCTAGGGGAGGTAAGAGCTTCCCACTGTTGCCAGCTCCAGGGAGCCTCACCAGCCTGGGATGGTTTCCTTCACCGTGCCCACACATCTGTAAATAGTCCTCTCCAGTTAAACCCTCTGTGTGCGCCAGTCATTTCCTGCCAGGGCTCTAACAGAGCAAAATCTACATCCACCTACCAGATAGATGGGGCCAAGGACAGCCCTGTCCTACCCTCACCCCCTGCAACTCCTCAGAGGCAGAATGTGAAGGCAGTGTTAAAGCCAGGTATGTGGCTCACACCTGTAATCCCAGCACTTTGGGAGGCTGAGATGCCTGACTTAAGGAGTTCGAGACCACTCTGGGCAACATGGTGAAACCCTGTCTCTATTAAAAAACACACAAAAAATTATCCAGGTGTGGTGACACGCACCTGTGATCCCAGCTATTCAGGAGGCTGAAGCACGAGAATTGCTTGAACTTGGGAGTTGGAGGTTGCAGGGAGCCAAGATTGCACTGCTCTAGCCTGGGTGACTGAGCGATTCTGTTTCAAAAAAACAGATGTAAGCACCAATGTATTTTGCCCAAAAGCAATCATATGGGAACTTAACACCCCTGGGAAGCTGGAAGAAACCCAGGAAGCTCAGGGAAAGCGACCATGCAGCCCAGGCAGGGCCTTCTGTGCTTCTCCAAGACCATGACACATGGGGCGCCAACAAAGTCACAGGCTCTAGATGGGTGCCTGGCACATGGTAGGCACTTCATAAACACCTGTTCATGAAGTTGTCTTCTGGCTGAAGATGCAAGCTCAAAACCCAAAAGGATCCTGCAGAACAGGATACTCCATGAAAGCCACCACTCCATGGAGCAGCTCCGGAGCTGCCCTTGGCTCCTCATCCCATGCACGTGAAGCTCCAGGAGCCTCTTCTGTATCCACACAAATGCTATTTCCTCCTCCCTTAGCAAGAAGTGCCCGAGGCCAACAGCTGCCTTGCCACCTCCCTTGCTGATTTTGCTGCTCCCCACGCCCTCACAGGGCCAAACGCAGCCTTGGTTTTGTGCAGTCCAAAAGCATTTATTAAGTGCCTACTGTGTCCAAGTACCACGCCAGGCACTGAAGTTCCAAAGGTGATCAAGACAAAAGTCTCAGCGTCCAGGGACCACGAAGAACATGAAGGAGAAAGGCTGCACACGGACGAAAGGGGATTCTCAAAGATGGGTAGGGAAGCCTGAGCTAAACTGGTCTTGAAGACTGGGGCTGTGATCATGGGGAAGGAGGGGAAGGCACGGGAGGTGTAAAGAGGGAAGCGGGAGGCTGGCATGCCCCTGGGCCAGGAGGTGTAGAAATGAACTTTGCAGGGTCCAGAGCAGACAAAAACCAGGCAGGGGCTTGTCTCAAATGGGGCCCCCTTGATTCAAGAAGCAAGCACATTGAACAGAGAAGAAATGAAACCTTATTAGAAGCTGTCTCCTCCTGGCAGCCTCAAAAGTCAAAATGTCCCCCCGCTTTGGGAAATGTGAAGGCAGTGTGGCTGGGTCTGGGGGAAACTTTCTCAGCCTGCCATTCACCACCAGGCTCCCGTAGTCCTGGGGTCAGCCTGATCAGTGAGGAAAGGGGGCCTGGCCACCCCCAGTTCCAGGGCACTGAGTACTCCAACCCCAAACAAAATAAAAACCTTTCACACTTGCTTGCTCTTACTTGGAATTCTAAAATTAAACGTTCATTCCTCTCACCTAAAAGGTTTCTCCTTTTATAAGCTAGTATGCAAATACCTTGGGAGAGGCTAAGTCTTAGCAGTCACATATCCGCTGAGCATGAATGCTTCCACAGGATCTTTCCTGGAAAACAGGCTTTGCGTGAGGGATGTCTGAGGGATGATCTGTGGCTGGGGTTGGGGAGACACAGGAGTAAGAGGGAGACATGCATGGAAGGCGGAAGGCCGCTCCTGTGCTGAATCAGCACTCAGAAGGCTGAGGGGAGACGGTTAAAGATTGAGCCTTCAAGGCTTTTCATCTAGCTAATTATTATTATTATTATTATTTTGAAATGGAGTCTCACTCTGTTGTCTAGGCTGGAGTGCAGTGGTGCAATCTCGGCTCACTGCAACCTCCACCTCCCGGGCTCAAGCGATTCTCCTGCCTCAGCCTCCAGAGTAGCTGGGACTACAGGCATGCACCACCACGCCCAGCTAATTTTTGTATTTTTAGTAGAGACGAGGTTTCACCATGTTGGCCACGATGGTCTCTATCTCTTGACCTTGTGATCCACCCACCTTGGCCTCCCAAAGTGCTGGGATTATAGGCGTGAGCCACCGCACCTGGCTTCGTCTAGCTAATTTTTTAAAAATAAAAATGGCCAGGCGCGGTGGCTCACGCCTGTAATCCCAGCACTTCTGGAGGCG